CTAGAAGCAATACTTTCAACTAGAGCAGTACCATAATTGCTTTATTAATTCTACAACTTAAATTTTTGGTAGCAGGTCCTCGATCCAAGGCTCAACACTTCACCACAACGGTAACCCCCCAAAATACTAACATAACATAAAAGTTTAAATAACAACATAAAAATAGAACATTAAACACTCTCTCCGTTTTCTCATCTTAATTAAATAATAATTTCATAAAATATCACTTTATTTATTTAGCCCTGTGCAAAGCACGATGGGAAGTGACTGTCATGTATGACTGGGTTACTAGATTGAAACATAATTTCAAAATTAAAACATCAAGTGAAGTCAAAGTTAAGTGACCATTTCAAGTTAGATTAACATGAACTAATCACATTTTAACAAGGCGTAAAAAAAAATTGTTTGTTTCCGGTTTCCGACCGACCCTGTCAATTTATGTGCGACCCAAAATTATTTTATGAGCTTGGGGAAGAAATAATAAAAATTAAATAAATACACAAATAAAAAACTCTGAGGCGAACTATTAATTTACGTTTTTGTACAGCTCCGTCTTTTTATAGCACTCGATGTAAGATGCATCTTGTCCTCCAGCAATCTATTAACAAACGAGGCAGATATCGTTCGTCAAACTGAACTATAATACATATTATACAAGTCTTTTTTTGTAATTTGGGATATTTTTATTCATATTCGCACACATACAAACACATGCATTCATAGGCATGCACACACCACATACTAATACCTCCATCCGCCTAGTTTAATTAAAAAATCATTCTATCATGATCCAATCATGATCCCAATCCCATCTTCTGCTGTCTAGAACTTCTTTCGTCATGTATTTGTTCGTTTCTTTTATTATTTTATGCAATCCAAAACACTCTAACCTGCCGCGGTTCGTATCTTTAGAGCCCGTCTAACTTGTCCGCTTTTCCGGGACAAATGGATTTTTGAAGGACAAGTAAAAGAGAATTTTACTCGCCCCAACGGACAAGTAGCCTGATTAGAACATCAATAACAAACAAAACAATAACTAGGGAATCACTAAACCGAGAGAATGATTATGATTTTATTACATTTATTGCAAGTTGCGATCGATTGTGGATAATAAATGTAGCAGGCCTACTGTATTACTGATGGTAAGGTTGCGCTGTTGACGCTCGCGCAGAGAAATCTACACACATGAGCGGAGCACACACACACACACAGTTAACAACATACTCTGCCTATAAAAAATCTAAATGTGGAGTTTTTATATTTTAACATATGTTAAGCACTAAGCAGCCTCAATTATTTTTCCTGAATACCATCACGATTGAAAAAGTGACATTGATTTCCTACAACAGTTCAATAAACAGTTAAGATTAAGTCACTTACTGTTTATAAGCAATACTGGGTGTTTTTGTTCCATTTCAGCAGCGAAAATAGTTCCAAAGAAAAGTCACAGCAGAACCACGACGCATCTCACAGGAACTCATCCTGTTTTCATTACTGAATGATTCAGCATTTTGAACGAATCGGTTGAGTCAAGGATTCAATGACCCATTCATAAACATCAACATCCGTCTCATTCGTGAATGAATCAACCGTTTGAACGAATCGTTTGAATTAATGAATCAATAACTCACTCATTTATACGGCCGCCTGCCGCCACCTATTGGCAGTTTAGTGTTATGTTTATAAGTAGCCTAGTATAATTCTTTCCAATATTTCTTATTTGCACATTTAAATCAATTTCATAACATTATTTTATGAAATTGTAATTTTTCAGTGTAAATGATTTAATTTCATCAGCCCTACCTAGGGTAACAGTATGCTTCATCTTTCATTTTAAATTCCTAAATTTGATCAATAAATTCAATTATTTAGAATAATAAGACACTATAGGTCATTTAATAATATTGGTGGAGGGGATGCCCTTAAAGGTGCAGATATTAAAATTTGCCTTTTTAAATATCAAAGCTGATTGAACACTGATGACAATATTGCTTCAGAATAAAAAATAAATAAATTTTAAAAATCCGGACAAGCAACTTTTTTACTCGGACAAGTGATTGACAGATTTACTTACTTGTCTGGAGGACAAGCATGTGAAAAGGCTTAAGGGGATAGTTCACTTTGAAATTAATTTTTGATATGTTTTAGCTTAAGGGCATCCAAGATGTAGGTGTCTTTGTTTCCACAGTAGTTTCAATTTTGATATTTTTAGGTTTGACTATCCCTTTAATGTCAAGCCCTGAATAATTTCCTACCCATCCCTTGCTGCCACTGGAAAAAAAAAAAAAAAAAAAAAATTCCCTACCGACCCATGACCTCAACTGACAACCAACCGGAACCAAACTTTTTTTTTTTTTAGGCCCAAGAAACCCAATACAATTAAAACATAATTAAATTATATATTAATATATGTACTGAATGTGTGTGTATCCAAGTAATGCAGGTGTCTTCTTTGAAACACAAAGTTAATCTGAAGTTGAACCTGCCTCTTAGTAGGTTTAAGACTCAATTTAGTCCTGGAGTAACTGTAGTCTTCCTGCATGAAATCAGCTTATTAAACTCCGGACTAAACTAAATATGGGACTATTTAAAGCCATGACATAGAAAGCAGATTTCTGTTAATCAGGTTTAACGGGCCATTTTGATCTAGGACTAGACAATCTCTGTCCGGGAAACCACCCCTTTGTGTTCATCCCCACGAAAATCTTTAGTAAAAGGCTATAAATTTATACGATAAGAGGAGAAGCATAAGCTTATTGTTTTTAAAACAGCTCGAGAAGAAACCGCATTCGGGAGAACACATCTCACAGGAACGGTACAAAAATGAAGTGCATTAATGCGTATCGTAAGTAACAATAGTGTAACAAAACTGATAACACACCGACTATATAGGCATAGAAAAGTATTTCAATGCAAAAAGACAACAAATTTAAAGTACTTTGTTATTACGGAGATGGTTATGGTGGTTAACGTTATAGATACAGTCGGTTGGTCTGGGAACGCCCCCGGGAACGCCCCGTCACGTGGTGTGAATTTAGCCCGTGGGGGAAATCATTGCCTTGGCGCTCATTGAAATACATGGGACAATCATGCCGAAGGGTTGCGGTGTCGTTTTCTGTACCACCAATAAACTAACAAATTACAAATTGAAATGAAACGCAACAAACCGGTATAACTTACTGCGCTTCCGGTTTCGTCATCACCCATTCTTCTAACTCTTTTATGAACTTATGCAAATTCACAATAAATTACCAAAAATCTAAAGCACCTCAATCCCCAAAACAAACAAACAAACATCTAGACTACTCATTTCCCAGTATTTCCATTGATATAATATGGACAAAAATGAAATGATAGCCTACAGATGAAAATTATAAGGGGAAACACATTAATGTAATTCTTTCTATCCCATGAATTCTGCCTCACTAAACACAGATATCTTTAGATAAACAGCAATTAAAACGACAAAGTATTGATAAACAGCTTTGAGGCATATCAAGACATACATATTGATATATAAAAGATATAAATGAGATATAAATTCATAAAAACTACAGCATAGAGAAAAAGATATCAGCAGCCACATCACAAACTCCACAGCGACACGTAGTGTTAATGAACGGTACGGCACTCTACAGCCCAAACAGCGTTTAACGCGATTATAGTAAATAAACAAGGACATCAAATGTATATATTATTGTTAATAGCGATTGTGAATATTGACATGATATCAGACAAACTTTTCACCCATCAACCATTTTTATCAAGCGCCCGTTATTCTATATTCTACATAATTCATGAGTAAGGTAACTGTCGTTAAAGTAGGCCATTACAAGCCCTCAGAAAGTAACAACCATTACATTTCAACTAAAATATCAATTCCGACTAAAATTAGGTGTTCAATTAGTCCAATCCGTAAAACTGAGGCTCACCTTGTATCTTTCCATCAACTCCAGTCACATGTATTGCTGGAAATTTCCATCGTTAAGGTCCTTTATTAGTGGACCAATGAAGCCTGAGGTAAATTAGTCTGCACAGTGTTTGTGCTGTGATAAACATATTTTTATGTAATTTTTTTATTTATATAATTGTAAAATGATTTTTTGGAAAGAAGGAAAATAAACAAAGCCACTTTGAAAAGAAATAAAGAAAATATATTTTAATGAAAAACAACAGGCATTTCGCATGACAACTCCATCAGATTTGCAAATCATGCACATGACAAAATGAGTCCTAAATATTGAAAAAGATGTGAAAATAAACAGTTTAAATATATATATATACATATAATATATATATATAAATAAACGTTATTTATTTGACATCACGCTTTCATTTTATTGAGCATTTTTTATGATTATGCATAAAAGCCATTACAAATTATGTCCAGTTGGAAACAAAAGCAAAATAAGTTCTTGCACACTAATTGAACCCAATAGTTTTCTTACATACAATCATTTAATGTTTTTCTGAGGGCAAAAATTCCATAATCTTAATCAGATTACTGGTTTATTATTATTAATTTGTATTATTCTTTAAAAATGACACAATTGCTCCACACTATTGTTTTGACGTCAGGTCTATTAGGAACAATCATATTATTTCCTCCCATCTAATATTTATTTACAACACCATGTCCCATTTAATTTGCTTTTTTATTTTATTTTATGGTATATTTGTTATGTGCTTTGACATTTTATATATATATATATATATATAATTATTTATAGCCTATACATTTATTTTTATTTCAGTTTAAGTTTTATTTCAGTTTCCAGATTAGTTTTAATGCATCAACCTTTTCAGTTTGTTGCCAAGGCAGCATTTTTTTATTTTTTCATGTAATATTTAGGCTATATATATACAAACTATATAGTCAATTACATATATATATATATATATATATATATATATATATATATATGTATAAATTTCAATTACCAATTTTAAAAAACTAGTTTAGTTTAGTGAACGACCCTGCACACACACTGCAAGACAAAGTTAGAAATGGTTGTTTCGTCAGTCAGTGTTTTATAACGTTATTTTCTCTTTTTTGCTTTAAAATGACCTTTTAGGAATTCAGAGGAATAAATGCTTATAACAATTTATATGCACCTATGAAAATGGTGTGAGTGTTGTGACTTTCCCTGACCTTTCCTCTCAGGACACAGTGGAGCAGGATCATACTGAAGAAGCAGTGAGGAAAACTCATCTCGCAGGATCGGGGCCAAAGGGCGTGAGGTAGACATGGGTGGGCCTGCTCAAATCTTTTTCCATGCTGTGGCTCCGTGCACTGGACAGTGTGGGAAGACATGTGGGATGAAAGAGAGTTTGGTAAATGCCTCAACCACACTATGTTTAAAGTCTAGGGATGTTTAGATACTTCTGGAAATCAAGTGAAAAAGGATGGAAAGTCTGTTCTGAGAATTCAGACCCCTTTAGATAACAGATTAGCTAATGCGTCGCTGGCCAGGAGATCATAGGGAAAAAGATACATCTGACTCATTTCTTCATTGAAACATTTTCGGGAAAATAATTAACGGTCTCGTTCAAAATCCTCAGTTAGCCTTTATACGTGTGCAGAGCCATTGAGCTATATAATGAGCGAGATGCTATAGTACAGTGCACGAAAATATTGTTAAAGGCAAACCATTCAAATATATATAAGCTGTATAAAAACATAATGTGAAGACCAACATGTTTTGGACTGTAGTCGGCCATTGAACATCTGCTAGCTTATGACCCGAAGCACTGTTTAGTTTTGTTGGCTTCGGCTCCGCTCTCATGCCTGTCCTGGACGACGCTCTGGCTCTGGAAGAGTGAGTTATGCCAGTGTGGTTTGGGGATCCGCTGTCAGACCACCATCGCCTGTCCAGTGTCCACATCATGACCTCCAGTACCTGTGAGGCGGACATTGAAACATTTAAGAGAATTAGAGTTTAAAAAAAAAAACCCCACTATACTCAAAAGTTTGGTGTCATAGGGTTTGGTGTCTCTTCTGCGCAATTTATTTGATCAGAAATACAGTAAAATTGGGAAATAATGAACTGGTTGTAATTTATGCCTGTGAGCATAATTTATGCCTGTTATCAGTGGTCACACGAATAAATTACATTCCTACATTCAAGGTCCAAAAGACAGTTTCAGTACAAACTGCAAACTGTTCAAAGGGCTTTAAACGATTCCAGACGATGAATAAGGGTCTTATCAAGCGAAACGATCGCTCATTTAATAAATAAATAACAAAATTTAAGTTTTATAAGCTAAAATGGTCGCCTTGCTCTGTTCTGTGACGCTCTCCTGTTGAACAAATCTTTTTCCGAGTCAATTCGTTCGTTTCGTTCATCGAATGAACCAAATGACTCTGAAAAAGATTTGTTAATTTTGATAAACGAGTTCGAACAGGAGAGTCACGAACGTGCGTCACAGAACAGAGCAAGGCGAGCATTTGAGCTTATAAAACTTAAACTTTGCTATTTATTCTTTAAATGAGCGATCGTTTCGCTTGATAAGAACATTATTCATCGTCTGGAATCATTTAAAGCCCTTTGAACATTTTGCAGTTTGTACTGAAAGTGTCTTTTGGACCTTGAGCTGTTTGGACCCCATTGAAGTCCGTTATATGGAGAAAAATCCTGGAATGTTTTCATCTAAAACCTTAATTTCTTTTCGACTGAAGAGTAAATGACATGGACATCTTGGATAACATGGGGGTGAGTAAATTATCCGCAAAAGTTTTTTTCAAAAGTGAACTCCTACTTTAAAGAGCTTTTACATTTGACTTGACTTGACATTTGCCATAATATAACTTTTTTGTTGTTGTTATTAAAAAACAAGCAAGCAAGCGCATCAGGTGAGAAAAGGTAATGCGAAATAAAACACATTTTCATAAAAACTGAGAGAGTTTCTCCCAATACTGTAACAATGTCCTTTAAAAAAATACTTTCCCCAATGCTGGTCATTTTCATAAGGCGCCCAACAGTCAGATATAACAGTCCATGTATAAACAATATGACACTGAAGAAAAAGTTAAATAAATTAGCAGTCATAGAGGAAACCAAATTCCATTCCCTCATCCTGCTCTGTTCCGCTCGGAAAACAGTATTCCTGAAAAAATCAATGGCATCAAGTTCATGTGTGTGTGCAGTGATGTTCTCTATACCCACTCTAAGCTCTTTTATGATTGTATGACTCAGAATTATGAATTATGAGACTTGATCCCTCCCTTATATTGTTGAACATGAGTGTAATTCATCAGGCAGGAGAAGCGGCGCGTGATGTTGAGGAGATGAACAGAGATGTCAAGGTCTTTCTCCAGCATGTGGACTCCATTTGTGCAGCGCATGAGAGCGTTTGGCACAGAAGCCCTTTGGTATCTCTCGATACATCTGCTCAAGCCAGATTATCATACTCTCCAGACTCCAATGAACATAAATCTGCGGCGGGAACACGGGCACGTTTTCCCTGGCCGTCATAAAACATTGATTTAAAGCCACGGGCTGTCAAAACACGGCCATGCAGATTTCAAGCAACAGTTTAGAAGGAAACGCAAGGACTTCATCTCATCTGAAGGATTTATGGCCTCTGAGGAACAGCGGACAGATGAGAGCTCAGGCCACCAGCAGAGGAGACCCGAGGCCTGCACACACACACACACACATCACTTCTGGCATATACGTGTGTGGAACGTTTCTGTGTTTGTGAGGTTTCAGCACTGTAATGACACACTGTTTTAGACTCAAGGCACAAAGAGACCAAGAAAAATAAATACTGCAGGTCTCCTGTATTTGGGTGAGATACATGAACAGAACTGGGGCCTTCCTCATTGTCCCATTACATAAAACTCACATTTATCAAGATGGAAACCATATTTAGTTTTCTTTTATCACTTTATATATTAAAAGTTAACAGTTATTCGGCAAGGATGCATTCAATTGAACACAAGTGACAGACTTTTATAATGTTACAAAAGACTTTGGTTTCAAATAAATGCTGCTTTTAAACTTTCCATTCATTAAACACTTAAAAAAAAATGCTGGGTTGTATCAGCATGTTTGTTTGGGTAAAATATGGTCTAGTCCAAACGTTGGGTTAAATATAGCAATTTAAATTTTTTAAAGTAAACCAATGGTTGGGTTTCTCCATTTGACCCAAACATGGGTTGAAACAACCCAGCATTTTTTCAAGTGAAGAAGTTTCTGGGGGGAAACAAAATTGATTGCAATTTCAACAAAAATATTAAACAAACAAACAAACAAACATCCATCCATCCATCTGTCTGTCTGTCTGTCTGTCTATCTGTCTGTCTATCTATCTATCTGTCTGTCTGTCTGTCTATCTAGCTGTCTGTCTGTTTGTCTGTCTGTCTATCTGTCTATCTATCTGTCTGTCTATCTAGCTGTTTGTCTGTCTATCTATCTGTCTGTTTGTCTGTCTGTCTATCTATCTGTCTGTTTGTCTGTCTGTGTGTCTGTCTGTCTATCTAGCTGTCTGTCTGTCTATCTATCTGTCTGTCTGTTTGTCTGTCTATCTGTCTGTCTGTCTATCTATCTGTCTGTCTATCTGTCTGTCTGTCTATCTATCTGTCTGTCTATCTAGCTGTCTGTCTGTCTATCTGTCTGTGTGTCTGTCTGTCTGTCTATCTATCTGTCTGTCTGTCTGTCTGTCTGTCTATCTGTCTGTCTGTCTATCTCTCTGTCTGTCTATCTAGCTGTCTGTCTGTCTATCTATCTGTCTGTTTGTCTGTCTGTCTATCTATCTGTCTGTCTGTCTGTCTGTCTGTCTGTCTGTCTGTCTATCTGTCTGTCTGTCTATCTATCTGTCTATCTATCTATCTGTCTGTCTGTCTATCTGTCTGTCTATCTAGCTGTCTGTCTGTCTATCTATCTGTCTGTCTGTCTATCTATCTGTCTGTCTGTCTATCTGTCTGTCTATCTGTCTGTCTATCTATCTGTCTGTCTGTCTATCTATCTGTCTGTCTGTCTGTCTATCTATCTGTCTGTCTATCTATCTGTCTGTCTGTTTGTCTGTCTGTCTGTCTATCTATCTGTCTGTCTGTCTGTCTATCTGTCTGTTTGTCTCTCTGTCTGTCTATCTATCTATCTATCTATCTGTCTGTCTGTTTGTCTGTCTGTGTGTCTGTCTATCTATCTATCTATCTATCTATCTATCTATCTATCTATCTATCTATCTATCTATCTATCTATCTATCTATCTATCTATCTATCTATCTATCTATCTATCTATCTATCTATCTGTCTATCTGTCTGTCTGTCTGTCTGTCTGTCTATCTATCTTGGTGCTTTTTCCTCTGTAATATGGGGTCAGGTAATGAATCTGTGCTGCAGTGAATGAGAATGGGCTTTTGGAAAGTAGCGTAACATGAAACCGCTTGACTGAGCCGTATGTCAAATGTGGAAACGGTTCTGGCCTACAAGCCCCAAATGAATGATAGATGTGATATTTTCCCTGCAAACACAAACATCTTCAGTGATTTCAGCTGCTGAGGATACACCCGGGACAAAAAAACCCAGACCACCGTCACAGCCAAATGAGGATGAATTCTTTTACTGGGTTTTTTCATCTATTTTTACAACTTCCACTCAGTTCCCCGGCCGATCGTTGAGCCCCATGTGAAGACAGGCTGCTCAGGCCGCACAGGATGATCCCGCTGCAGACGGCCGGCGTACTGCAGGTGCTTTACCCTGCGGATGAAAGCCTTGGAAGAGAATGCTGATGATTGTTCTTAACGTTTGCATTCTTTCGTTTGACTTTTAACAGGCCAGCCATCATTCAGTTTAAATCATTAAAGACTGACTTTTCCATCAGACATTTTTTTTGCAAAGTGCAAAATGCAGACAAAATCTTCAGAGGTTATTCATTACGAGAACTAAAGTCATGAATTAATAGACCTCTGATTTATGTCAGCGATGAGATGGAAAATGGACAATCGCTGGATCAGTTTTATAAGACAACGCATTAGCCAGAAAGACCACGACTGAAGTGATTTTCCAGAAGTGCGTTTCAGAGAAGTTAATTGTGCATTGAGTTTGAGCTGGTCAAACATCAAACCTCATTCTTGTTCCTGCTGGTGGTCATATATATATATAGCCTGTAGGTTAAATAAGATGTAGGCTACTAAATGTAAAAAAAAAAAAAAAAAAAAAAATCCTATGGTTTTCTAGACAGAAACAAACAAACATTTTTCATTACACTAATATACAATCAAATGATGGAGTTCAGTTTTTTTTGGATACTGTAAAATATGAACATTTAACTCATAAAAATAAGTTAAGCAAATTTCAAGATTCATCTCATTTAAGTCAGTTTAATGCGATTTAAATGAAATTTGAAATGACTACTGAAAAATTTAAAGCAGCAACTTTTTTTAAAAGTACTACTTGAAAACTGTTTTATATGAGAAAAGGCCTTTTAGATATTTATTGATTTCTTGTTAATTATCTTTAGTTTATACATTAAGTTAAATAGCGGTGAATGTGATTTGTAAAACATGTTCCTGGATTGACATCTTTGTTGATTCTGAAACAATATTTCAATCAACCAATCAGATTTCAGGGACATATTTTCAGATTATGTCAAGTTCAGACTTAAAGCCATGATAAGGTGCTTGTTAGCCTATTCTATATTATTTATCTCTGATTTTAAGTCAAAGATAGGGTTAGGTTTAGGGTTAGGACTACATTTTCAGACATGTTGTTTCAGGATCAACAAAATATTTACTTTATACTTTTGAGTTTGCAGTAGTCTCTCCCGGTCAGTAGATGGCAGTGTTGCGTCATCAGAAGGAAATGCGGTGTGAAGATTCTGATGTGTTTTGAGATGGATTCAGTAGGCCTACACTACTGTTTTTATTGTTATACAACATATGTCGAATTGCTGT